TTATCTATCATGTAAGTGCAAGTCAAGCAAGTTAGACCTGCCTCAGGGGGGGTTTAGTCTGTATACACAACTATTCAGACAATGCTGCTGTGGAGGTTTTGGAAAAGACTTTTTCCTTTGCTCCAGGCTTGCCGTTTATTTCTGCTCTCTCCATTTTCACTAGTGTGCCTTGATAAGTAAAAGTGAAAGTGAGCAGTGTCCTATTAAACTTTAGGATAAGTAAGACCTAAATGGAACACCCTCCCCTAAATGGAACACCTCCCAGGCAGACATATCTGCCCCCCCCCCAAGAGGAGTTATATGTAACATGTACATCAGTTATGCAGTGAATGGGACATCCAGGAAGTTGATGATATATTTAGTTCTTGTCATTTTTTTTTTTCTGCCACTGGCCAATTTCCAGGGCATTAAATACTATTTTTTTAATGCTTTTCTCTAAATTTTATTATTTCCCTTGACCTGTTTCTTTGCACAGTTGTATGTTGTCGTGATTAATTGAGTATAGATATTTTGATAAACAAATTCCATGTTCTGAAAATTCAAGATTAATTTTAGTGGAATAGAATATAATGTGAAATTTTATAAGTACATAGCACTTGTTAGAAAATTTGTAAAAGATTAGTTGGGGACGATTGACAGCTCAAGAAGCATTCTGGAATTCATTATTTTCTCTGTGCCAGGTAAAAAAATGGTTGCTTCTCCCACCTCTGCAGTTCTTCTCTTTGGACCCACCGATAACATAACAAAAGTCCAGCCTTCATTTGTCTAAATAGTAATGTATTAGTATTAATGATAGTAGTAGTGATTAGTATTATGAAGGTCTTTTCGTAGGCTCATTTAACTTTGGAATGATTATAAAACATAACTACTAATTTATTTTGCATGTTCTTGTTAATTATAATGGCATTCAGTAGTGCTCATCTGGTTATGAGTTTCTGAGTATTTCTCTGTTGCAGAAATTGTCTAAATCAGTACTTGGATTCAGGAAGAAAAGGACTATTATTTCTATTCATAGTTCTGTAATGTACGTAATATTCTTTAAAAATGCATATTTTTTGTAGTGTAAATTCATGTCTTTAAATAGTTTAAATATAACTAAAAATACATTGACTGTTAAGTAACTTTAAACATTTTTATTTCATACTTTCAGAAGATATGCTTTGTAGGTTGTTTGTAAATTATGTATTTTCAAATAAAATTTGGGATGTTTTGTTGACATAGTGCAATTTAAGTCTTGCTCAGAAGTCCTATTATGAATTAAGCTTTCTTTTGCTTTTAGTTGCATGGGAGAGTGGTATGATGGAAGGGTGGAAGCTATGGATACCAGTGAATGTATACGCCTTTAAACTAATAATCAGTCTCTCTAACAAGTAATTCTTGCTTTTCTGAAACTAGTTGTGTATTTTGCCCAATCTACCTGATTCAAAACAAGTATATCTAAATATACCTTATATAGGTGATCCTCAACGGTGTTGTAAAATATTCCTGAATGCTTCAGTGAGTAGTGCTTCACTGGAATATTTTAGATAAATACCCACTTAAAGTAGTAACGTACAGTTTGAACCATTTTTACTATAGCAAGAATGTGAAGTATGTCTTATGTGAAATAGAGACACATATGAACAGCTGTTGATCAATTAAATAGTACAACTGCTTAAGAGCTGTACTGCGCTTCGGTGGGGTTATTTACATTTTAAAAAAGACCACGGGCCACCAACAAGGCAAGATAATGAGTAAGAGCACGTAGTCTCAAATCAAAATGTTGTCAACATTTGAACACAATAGTGTTCAAACATATAACAGGTAAACTTATCCTAATGATTTTTGATTTAAATGTAAAATGAGCTAAGAAGGGAATGCAACAAATAAATGAATGAGCTAAAGGGAATGGCTTGCAGCAAGTGGGCATTGTATTCCTTTATTTTTAAGTCAAGTCTCAAAGCAATGTCTTCATCTAGAAATGAATTTGGCTTTCATTTTGAACTAAATCATTTTTATATTCTAGTGTCTTCTGAAACAACTGTGACAATTCGAATGAATAAGAGCCAAATTCTGTTAGTTGTGCTCATAATGAATAATATTTTATTATGTAAAAAGTGTAGTATAGCATATTGTATGACAAAATGCTACCAAATGCATAACTTTATCAGTGTTGAAAATGGATCTATCACCTATCTAGCTTCTATATTAGGTGGGTGATCATAATTGTTATACATTTTACCATTTGGAGAAAAAAATTATTAGAATTCGTCTAAATCTATATTTTAACAAGTGTCTGCATATCAAATTAATGCAGTCATTGACCAATGCACTTTTTCTTTCTTGGATATTACAGCAGTTTATGGTATTTACTTGTTTACCTCAAATTTTGGGGAGCTGAAAAGGAAGTCAAAGCCAAGTGGCAGGGAGGTGACTTTCAATTCAACTGTGTTGTACTGTTTACATCATGAGAGTGTTCCTACTGCAATGAGCTGCTGAAATTGCTTCAACTCGCATCTACTGCAACTGTATTTAGAAAATAAATACTGTCAGGATGCTTTTAAGGCTGTGGTTGTCAAGTTCTGTGAATTTGATTGTAAACTTTTAAGATTCAGGTGGAATGGTTAGATCTTGAACAATAGAAAAAATGTCAGTAAGAGCTCTCAATATGAGTTAGGTAAACAATGACATTAAAGATCTGCCTGCTATGGTCCAAGGGATGGAATTTGTTAGCTCAGCTGGAAGGAGAGTAGAGAATTGTTATTGTTAAACTGAGCTGATTCAGGTCCAGGTTTTCGGATACAAATAAAAATCAAAACAAATAAATGTTTATAACAAAGGTAACATTATTTTTAAGAGACAACTGCCTTCATCAGGTAAACCACTGGAGTTTAGTGTAAATGAAATATGTCAAAAGATAAGTTTCTAAAGGTGAAGATTTGTGCTGGTAAAAAGAAAGTTGATAGGTAAGGCTGTCTGTCTGTCCGTGACGTATCTGTCAAATCTACTATGTGTGATCCTGTCCACTTTAAATATTCCTTATTGATTTCTGAAATCCTGATAATTCAAAAAGACCAAAGATAAAATTTTAATAATCCAGACTAACGAGTGTGGCTGTTTTCATATTAAGAATAATTATGATAAAATACCAACATCAAAATTTTTTTCTGAAGGCTGTATCTCACCAAAATACATCACATTTTGGTTTAAGATTTCATCTGTCATAACTATCTTGGCTTTCTTTCTGAAGCTGAAGCAAAATTGATATTTAATATAATCCAAGCTAAGAAAACTGATTTTTTTTAAAATTTTTGGCATAGAGGAATATAGGAAAAAAGAGAAATACAGAATGTTGATACTTGAAGCTTACATATTAATATCTGTCAACAAACAACACACATTGTTGAACAAATAACTATAAGATGTATTTCTGTCTAGGCTTCAGGTACACGAGCAACTTCAAAGATTTAGAGGCATTGCTGCACTTGCAATCTTTTAATGGGAAATAGGAGAGCAAGGTGAATGCTTCTCTCTCGGTTGGGTATTTCCGTTCTGGATCTAGGGTGACCACATGACCATTGAGCAAAGTTTCATTGACACACATTTTACTTTCCAACAACTTTTAAGACTTGCCACACACTTTCACCTCCTCATATTTGCCTTAGGATCCTTACCTGTTTTTAACATTTTCTTCTTTTTTCTCTTTGTATTAAGAGCTCATAAGATTTCCTTCTCATTTCCCAGTGCTGTCCTACTGTGCAGGGGTTTCACGTAGTGTTTATTCCTCCAGCCTGTCATTCTTTGCTCTTCCTTCTTCACTTGCTCTACTACAGAGGCTGCCAGGTAGCTTTCAGTTTTCTAGGAACTTCGACCTTCCCAGCAGGTTTTGTTACACTCTACAAACAAAGGAAGAAGTTAGAACTGCAGCTCTTTTAAATGTCCAAACATCTTGTAACAAAGTGTGTATTAATAATGCCAGTTGGAACACAGATTTTTTTTTAAACTGTGGGAAAGCAGTCTTTTCTTTATAAAATTGTACATTCATTTTACTCTTCAGTCTGCTGCTGTCTGACCTTGTCAGCAAGGGAGAATTGCCAAGAGGCACCGTCAAGAGGCTGGTAGGATCAACTTCAGAAGTAGCAGAGTTTCAGGCATTAAGGCTATGCCCATATTAGTAAATTAAACAATGCTTGGAAATATTTCCAGGTCTCTGCCACAGTTTTGGTCTTTGCAAGCTAACATTGTTCCAGAAAATTCCCAGACATTTATTTGACCACATCCGTTAGACAGTTTGCATGCATCCCCTCTGTTTCAGATCATATGTGGCTATACTAGCATAGTTGTAGGATTATCTGTGCCATTTGATTTCAGCAAAAAGAAATGTGCTCACGTGTAGCTGTAATATAATTACATCTTCTACAGACCTGCATGGTCTTTATTTCTTCTGCCTTGTCCAAACTTTTCCCTTCAATGCTGTCTTGCAGTCTCAGCTTGAAAGCTGTTTTTTTTTTTCTTTTTGCCTGTCCTTTTGGCCTTCCTAAAATGCATATAGATTTAAATTTCATTGGCATGTGGTATCCCAGCTCCTGTTCCTTCCTTCATATGACCTTGTGAACTTATTGGTAGTGATACTGTGTGCAGTTCTCTGCCTGGAATAAACTACTTCAGGGAAGCCTCCCTCTTGTTTGCCTTTAGTCACTTTAATAATAAAAATAGAATAAAAAAAATAAGACTTGACTTTGAGTGATGCCTTATCTGTCCCTCTATTGCAAGGCAGAAACTTGATGAATAACTATATTTTTTTTGTGGACTACATTTATGATGACTACTTGTTAACCTTTCAACTTGCTTGGTCTTTCAACCAAAATGTTTACGTCAAAATAGAAAATTTTAAATTTTTAACTTCTTCCTTTTTCTTACAGAATCTGGAACTAATTAGAGGGTGTGATAAAGCCAAATTCTATTTTGCTTTCACTAAATGATGTCTAAATAGCTATAAACATTTCTCTTTGTCTTGTCAGGATGGTGGTACCGCAATTGATTTTGGACATCACTTCAGTTCAAGGTTGAAGTTAAAAGGTCTTTTTGAGGCATAGAAGAAGTAGGTGAGTACTGAGTATTGTTTTTTGCAACTTTCTTTTGTTCTGGAATTGCTGTTCTTGCTGACCAGTCCATCTTCTGACTGTCTCTGCTTCCTCTGATTCAGAGATGTATGACCGCTTGTATTATGACTAGATATCAGAGAATATTTAAGTCATGTAGGATTTCCCTACATGCTTTTTTCAGTGCCTGCCACAAAAATAAGTGAAAACGCAGTTCTTTCACCAAGGTCTCTGGAACCCTGTATAGTTTCATTACATCAACTGCGTTAGGAGTATGATAATTAAGCTAATTTGGTTAGAAAGTTGTTCTAGACTATATTTGCATAAGTATTTTTTCTAATAAATTAAAATTTTAAAAAGCAAGATTAAATAGTAACGAATCCCTGAGTTTGGGTATTCCTAGTTTCCTGAAACTGGGATGATCTCTGTTCCATTGGTAACCAGGAACATTTCATGATGTCAAAGACCATGAGTTCAAATCTTGCTTGAACTGCTTTACGTGTTAACAGTCTGAATCTGCCTGTAAAGAAATACTGATATGAGTGTAGTACCACCATGGGACTTGGCATGCCTGCTCTGAATACCTTGCTTTGCTCCAGACATTCACAGCTATCTTAAGTGAATCATGTACAACCGGGTATCAGGGTTTTTTTCACCTTGGAGAGACCTGGAGAAGGGCATTCTAAAGGAATCGGTGTAAGATGAAATTTTAGCAAGGCACTCACATCTATTTCGGATTTTTCATACTTGCTAAAATGAGAGAGTTAATTTACATGTTGAGTATTGCAATTCCTACAGGGGTAGAAAAATTCTTGACAATATTTCCAGACTTTTTCAGATTAATTTTAGGCAATATTTTAACATGTAAATTGCAAAATATGCTCAACTGGTGCCCAACACTAAATCTTACAGATGCAGATTTCAACAGGGTACCACAAACTAACTCACCACAATAGGAAACAGGCCCTGTTGCTTCTATGTACACTATTGTTTCCAAAGTATATATGTATTGTTTTCCTGTATGCCATGTGCAGTAACTGCTAAGGTATTATGAAATATTCAAATATGCCTATATATACTCCACGATATTGATATATCCATCTTCATGTATTGATGGCTCAGAAGGGCAGGAAAAAGAAGTAGTTCCAGAGGAGTTAATGATGGTCAGAGTAATTAGTGCTAAAACTATGTTTATAACAAGTTTTCTAAAGTTTCACCCTCTGGGAAGGAGCACAGACCTTTTTAACCTAATTCAAAGCAGCGCAAAACAAGACCGACTGTCCTGGTATGTGTTTCACTGTGACGGTCTTTACCCACTGGGTAATAAGAAAGGAAAATTCCTTTCTTCCGATTCACCTTCACCTTTTTCCAAGGACTTAAGGCACTAGCCTGAAGGGTGCAGTATAAATATGGTGAAACTGTAAAAAGAAGAAAAGATACAATAGTAGCATTAGCAATATTGTAAATCGAAGGATATACAGGATGATGCAGGGTAACTGTAGACATTACTGGCATCACATATAAATTTGTGTATGGATGTATGTTAATATGTAATAATATATTTGCAAACCAGTGTTTTTTCTTACATTACTCAGTGGAGAAAACAGTAAAAGAGGTCAGATTTTTTGCTTTCTAGGTAGCAATGGAAATATGAATGGATTTCTATCACATAGTTATACACATATGTCTGAATGGTGTAACTTGTCTGTAGTAACACCAGATAGTTTCTTCATAGACAGTGTCAGTATTTTGGAGAACAGTTTGGTTTGATAGAAACTGTGTAGTAATTGTGCAGTAATTGAAATCTGGTGAGCCAACAAGAGATTTTTATTTTTTAAAGGATATTTTTTTCTGGAAATTTACTATGTCCTGTACCACATAACGTCAGAAATGCAGTAATACTGACTTGTTCATCTATAACAGTTTGGCAGTATCATTTTATTGAATTCCAGTATGTCTGGAACTTAAGGCATATGGAGGAAAGTAACTGTTACTCTGTTTCCTCCATTATTTTGTTCCATAACTTTAAGTTAAATGCAATCTATAAAAATGCTTTCTGTAAAGAAAGCCAAAATCTTTTTGGCCTTTTTAGCACTGGTTTCTTACAGTGTGTAAAAGTTAAGAGGGAATGTTTTTGTAGTCCATGAGGAAATAGTAGTAAACTCTGAATGCTAGGTCCTCAATATGTCGTTTAGAGTTGATAGTTTTTTATGGCAGGACATGGTGTCTTTACACTGGTTGAAAATTGGGATTCAGTCATAAAAGTAGTTATAGAAATACATAAAAATAAAATTGTATTGGTGAGTACAGTTTTAATTAACAGAGAGAAAAATTCTGTTTGCTTTCTATACTGTCTTTGAATAGACCATTTAACTGTTTAGGAGTTAGTTTTAGAAAACTGAGTTAGAGTTGGAAAAGCTGAAACCAAGACAAATCCATATTGGAAAAATGAGGAAGCAGAGAAAAATGTTCCATTTTCGTACTGATGGCTTAAATGAACACTTTTGGGGACTATTAGTGGTACAGTTACATCTGGATCTTTTGAGCTAATTAGGCTTTGAAAAAAAAGCTAAGGAAGTTTTATAAATATGAGTATTTTCTGTGTTAGTGAACTGAATTGTAGTTGTGGAATTAATTGGAAAATTAATCTAGCTTTTCTGTCCTGTATTGGCAGTTTGTGGAAGAGGAGACATTGTGCTCAGTCCTGTCCCTTTCTGGTACTACAGGACTTTAAACAGCACTACACATATTGTAGATGAGTAGTGTATGTAGTAGATGTATATGTATGCATTTCGTGTACCTACCAAATATTCAGACTCTTTCTCTCTGTTTATTTTTCATAGGGCAAACGTAATATTTTTAGATTAGTACAAAAGTACATCCCATGTAGTTACCTTGCAGCTGAGCTGGAGTTCTCTCAAGGGTTGTGTAAGGACTCATTGCTGGCGATCATGTTGATGACCAACATCTGAAACATTTGATGTACAAGTCATTCCATCAGCTGAATAATGAGTTGGCATTAACTTTGTCCACAAAGCAGGCTAACCCTTCCACTGTCTGGTCAGAAGGCAAAGGAGGATACACAGCCTAGTGCTGAAAGGAAAAGATGGTATCTGCTTTCTAAGAAGTAATTGGATGGGGGTTGGTGGGCTTTGTCTTCAGCCTGGCATCCACCAGGAAAGGTGTGAAACATAAGCAGTACTTTCCATTTTAATGGAACTGTTTTGGAACAGAGACACTGTTTATTGTAGAATTTTGAATTATCTTTCCAGGGTGATTCTGAATAGCTGTAAATTACTGATTTGGGGAAATCTGAAGGCAATTTTTTTACAAAAGTAGTTTACATTGATAGAATTGAATTTGTGGCCTGAAACTATGAGGTAGTGAATTTTTGCTATGATTATACAAGGTATCAAACTATGGATTTAAACTGACCAGCTTTTCAGTTCAACTGAATATTAAGTACAGTCTTAATGGTCTGATTTGCTGGCAAGAGCACTATTACAATAATCTGCTTTTTACAGCCCATATCAAATATGAGCTTGCGTCACTTAGTACAAAGTTTTTGCATCTAGGAGTGATGCCCTACATTTCTTGGAATTAGTCCTTAATGACACCGTCTTCAGAAACGGGTTGTTGTTCAATACACTGAATGTTTTTGTGGTTTCTAGTGTAGAAAATTTTAGGGAAAAGCTAGTTGAAATCTGAGGGTTTTTTCAAGTAATTGTACGAAATGAGGAGAGATGATGTGCATCTTAATAATTTTATCATTCTATTTTCTATGTGAAATGAATGAGAGAGGTGAGAACTCTTAATTTTTAACTGAACTGAACACAGGTTTCTGAATGTGTCCTGCTTGAGAACAGAGGACCATTACCGTAGTTGTCATGTAAAATAAAGTTGGAGTCTGAAGCTCCCTTTTAGCTGTCAGCTTTATTAAGGAGCTACTGGTGTGTTGAACTAGGCACACGCATTATATAAGCAGTGTATGGTAGTGTCTGGGGAGAATTTTCTCTCTCTTCACTGCTGCTTTATTAGGTCTCGCTCGCTCATTCACTGTTGCCCTGTTTTACTCCAGCTTTCTGGCTGCAGCTCACAGCACAGTAGGTCTAATGTAGATTGACGCCTTTGCCAGAGGACTGATTGAAACTTGTGTCTCATAGTTGCTAATGCTCACTCAACCATTTTATTGAAGATAAAGTAAATAAAATAGATTGCCATATGAGAATTCTCTGAAATCAAATGGAATAATTTGACAGGTTTAAGCCCATGAAAAAGCCAAAGCATTGAAACAGATGGGAATACTTTTTATGCACGATATACCAGGAAAAGGTGTCTGCTGGCTTGATGTTAAGCTGTTAATGGCTTTTACCAAAACTATAATTGTTGAAAATATTATTATCATTTTCAATGGAATTTCCATTGGTGTTGAAATTGTTTCTTCTCTCAAACAGAGGGATTTTTTTACATTTAAGAGTAAGGGGTACGCTGGTTTTATTTTCTTATTGCTTCTAATTCTTTAAGAGACTCATGATGTATAATCAGTCTCTTAAAGTTTAATTTTTAAAAAAAGTGTGATACTATTTCTAGAGATCTTTGCGAGATCTTTGAGATTAACTCAGAGTGAGTTTATTACTTGAGAAAAAATATTCTATGAAATTATGTGAAATAGATTGTTGCTTTTATAAGTTTTAAATAATCACTTAAGTGACATAATTTTGAATATTAAAAGTAAAGTTGCTAAGATAAGCCCTGACATTTCTAAAAGTATATGTGATACAGTACACAAAAAAATATGAACTTCTAAAGCTATTGTGACAAACTGTGAGTAATGGTCAACAAACCTCAAATATTCTTCAAAACACTTTTATTTTATAAAAAGAATTGCTGTAGATGAGCAGTGTGGTATGTCCGTGTTATTTTTAGAAATAATACATAATAATAAGCGTGTTAAGATGCAACAGATAACATAGACTTCTTATTCTTTCATCTGGATAACAATA